TCTGTTATGTGAAACACTTTCTAACTTTGTTTTTGTGCTTTAAAAATGAAGAAAGATATTAAAAGTTATTGAGACATTTCACTCAAAACCACTAATGTCAACCTCATGGTGAAAAGTCATTGGGTCATCAAAGACACTATGATACAACCTCTGGGCAAACTTGGGCCCATCCATCTTGTAGATGTTGAGATATTTCACAGGATAAATGAAAACTGGAAAATCATTGGGTTTACATTAATATATTATATTAATATGTAATGTTATTTTACATAAAACAAAAACATCAACCTCATGGTGGAGCTACAGGAAAAATCAGAGGATAACCAAAGTCGGTGGGTTTCATCATCTGAAGACCATGAATGTCTCATTGCGATATTTTAGTGTGAAGTCTAGAAGTGGTGGACTGACGATCCTGCCTTGCCTAGAGCCATGCCGCTAGCGAAAAAGAAGTTGGTCATAAACCAATGGAATCACTTTTCTCCAAGCCTCCCCATATATTTTCCTTGTTGAATTTTAAAGCTACAAATCAAACATTAAATCTGATAAATGTCACACAAGTTTCTCACCACAGCTAGAAAGAGGAGTAATGGAAACGCTGGAGTCATTCTCCCCATGCTAGCTTCACACCCTGGGGGTTCGTGGTCAGCTCTGATAGGATTATAGTTAGACTGCAGGCCCAGTGTCCAGAACTTGTTTTGTTTCTGGAGCCTCCATACGGGCTCTCAGTCTCCTCCACTTCGCCATGTTACGATGAGTGCAGCCTCCTCACACCAATGCCTCACGCACACGCCAAAATTTACTTCCAGAGACAGAATGCAACCACTGCAACACTATGTGATGATAGTAGACTTCTAGGCACAGTGATGAAGATTTGTTAGAAATGGGGAATCATGAATCAGATGTTGTGGACAGCTCAGTTACATTTGAAAGCCCGACCAAGCCATTGTTGCATGCATTGCTCCTGATTTATATACTGTGATAGATTACTTGACTGCTAAACTGAGTTTAGAGAGGCTTTACTGTTGTACAATTAAAGTGACTTATGAGCCAGACTGAAAAGCAGCTGTCTCCTTAAATGCCAAAAAATTACAAATTCATAGTTAACTTTGAAGTCCTGAATCTTACTGATGTGTGGATAGAAAGTCGGGATGTAGACTAAAGCTGCCTGATTAGTGAGTAATCCACATGTTGCTGATTTGTAAAATGTTTCCATCTACTGAAAGAGGCTGACTCTAGGAGGCATGATCATACAGTAAACAGATAATTGGCTAGCAATGTATGTGCAAAATCTGTATATACTTAAAGTCCCCCTCTATCCCCGAATGTTTCTTCTTGTTCCTACAGTTGTTTGAGCTTCACTGTGCAGAATGATGTTGGTGCAGAGTTTGACACTAGAAGGATTTTTTCACATTCATCT